CCGGGCGGGCGCAGTGGCTGCGGGCTGGGCTAGGAGGGACTCTGGGAAGAACTCGCGCCCCCTTACACACCCCGCGCGGATCATCGAGTGCAGGTGGGGAGGCCTCCGAGGGTCGCCGGGCTTCGGTCGTCAGGTTTCTGGCTTCGGCTGTGGGCGGTGGGCCCGGGACCGCTGCCTTCTTTCTTTTAACCCCTGGCACTGGGCTCTGCACAGGGGGCAGCCCCGTTCTCGCGATTCATTGGCGGACTGGCGGGGTACCCCTTCCAATCTCTCCAAGTGCAGAAATATGAAAATGTGAAGGAAGTGGTTGAAACAATCAGGCGGTTTTCTCCAGAGTCGATAGGGGATTTTGTGGAAGGGGAGGGGGAGGGAGGGTGAAGGCCCTGCCAGGTTCAAGTTTCAGCTCCACTCCTTCACCCAGTTAAGGCCTGCGGATTAGAAGGGTTCAGGAACCTTCTCTGGATAGATCTCCAGGAAGAGAAAGTAGCTGATACCACCCTCTCCCCTTAAGGCCCAACCTGGGCTGGAAGGGAGAAGGAACCTACCCTCTTAAAAGATGGCTGGGGTCAGCCTGTGCTCTGGCTTCTGCACATGGTGTTTGGTGCTGCTTCCTAAGTTCCTCTAAACAACTGCACTAAGGACCACGCACGGGCAGCCACCACCGTCCTCATCACCCCCTTCTCACAGGTGGGGGACTGAGACCCCAGGTGAGTCCTGTGCTCCTCACCGGCACGGGTTCCGGAACTTGATGAAACTGATAGATTTGGATCCCACCAAGCACCTTCTAAGACCTGCTGGGAGATGCAGAAAAGGATGCAGACCTGGGCCACCGCCAAGGGGCATCCGGTGCAGATAGATGAGGCTTGTACAGAATAAGCAAAGGCTAGATAGTGAGTCAAACGTCCTCAACAGACTGCTGGGGGAGCCACTTTGGGATCTGAGAAGAGGCACATTGGCAGCCAGAGGTCAAGAAAGGCTTAAAATAAGAGGAGGCATTGGGCCAGGACCCTGAAGGAGGAAGATGGAAAGTGTGAAGTTCTGGAGATCACAGAACTCGAGGCTTATCCTGCCACGTCAGCACTGGGAGATAAACCAGAGAGGTCCGGGCAGGGAGGAGAGGGATGGGACATCCAGAGACCATCTACCATGTGCCAGGTGCTGTGCTTGGCACACATCATCTCCTGTAACCCACACAACCCATCAGATATGAACCATTAGCTCCGCTTTGCAAGTGAGAAAATTGAGGCTCAAAGGGGTTCAGTAAGCTGCCCAGCTACTTAGTGACAGAGCCAGGGATCAAAGCTACCTGTTTTACCACCATCTTTTAGAATCTTACACTTTAGTTGGGGAGACAGGAATCCATCACTCTAGTATAATTATTGTACGACACAAAATAGTATGTGTTACATCCAATGTTAATGTTCTTGAACTTCAGTTTCTTTCAATCAGTCAATCATTTATTCGATAACTACTGTATTGTCTTACGTGTGATTCTAAGCACCATGCTAAGGGCTGGGCACACATTAGTAAATGACTCCGACCTGGGCCCTGGCCTCTGTCAACATGAATGTACATCTTTCAGTGGGTATTGAGTGGCTGAAATGAGACGCTATGTGGGAAGGTGCTGCAGAAGCATGGCCATGAGGCAGGAGAAGCAGCAGGAGGCCTGGGGGAAGAAGAGGGGTGGGCAGTGGGAGTATGGGCTCCCCTGTGCTGCAGTCATGAGGACTGGGGCCGGCTCACGGAGACATTGTGGAGTGCACACAGTTCCCCATGATGCTGTCTGAGCCCCTGCTGTTCAGATGATCAGTCTGCCATCATGGGTTCCAAGATGAGCCTTTAGTGTTGGCGTGTCCCAGCTGGAGATGACAAGAGCCCTGTGCAGCCTCCCGGAGACTGGCACCTCTCTGCAGCCATGCCAGCCGGGCTGAGAGCTGCCCCAGAGCATCACATCCCCACCCACAATGTGTCAGCCTCGTTCCCAGTGACTGGGATGGGCTGGAGCTGGAGCTCCAAGGCCCTCATCCTAGCGCTGGGGAAGTTTGTCCATGTTCACAGGACTTGGTAGCAAAGTCAGTAGACCCCAGGTCTCCCGGCTGTCCATAGCAGCTCACACCTGCCAGCCAGGGTGTTTGACGACTCAACTGAAAAGATCGTGCTCCATCTGCTATGTCTCCGCTCACCATGCCATTTCCCCATGCTCCTGTCCATCTCCGTTTTAGCTGACCTGACATATCTGTCCTCATAAAATGGTGTCAGATGGATCTTTGAGACAGGGTGTTCATAAATATTCCGGGACATTTGGCCTGTTAACTCTCCTTCCATCTTGAATAGTGTCATAGGTGTAAGATAACTACCTCTAAAATTAACTCTCACTTTGGTGAGGAAGGTGAACTGATAAATCTTGCCTTGAAGCTAAGCCCATCAAAGAGATGCTCTGGGGCCTTCCTTCTTCGCAACTGACACCAGCTCTTCCAGGGAGAATGGTTTTCCTCTTCCTTTCTTCTTCTTTTTTTTAAAGTGTCTTGGATTTGAGGTCACAAGATCATACTGCATTCGTTTAGATGTCACTCTGCCAGAATAAAGGCATTTTTCTCCTAATATTGAGATGATCAGCCTGATAGGAGCGGCGAGCCCCTGCCTGGCTGCCCCATGTTTACAGTCATTGCACAGGTGTATAATTGCATGGGGATGTCTGTTTGCTCAGCGCCCTGCTCAGCCGTGCAGCCCTACAGGTTGGGCCAGGGAGAGAGCTGTTCAGTTTATTTTCCTTTGGCTGGGAACTGCAGAGATGAATAGAGGGAGGGGAATCTGGGTTGAGAGATTGTTGCCAAGAGCAATTTGGAGTCTCCTTCATATTAGTCAGAGATTGTGTTTTTTCCTTTCTAAAGCTGCCCGCCTCACCGTAACTTCCACGAAGGATTTTTCCCCCATCTTTGTGTGCGCATGCGCTTGTTAGTTTTTGTTTTGATTTTTAACTTGCCAACTT